TTTTCTCTGTAAAAATTGAATCAACAATTAATAAAGATCACAATTTGAGAAGTGCCTCGCAAAAAAAAAAAAAAAAATGTATTTTACATATGCTGCCAATTCAGATGAATAAATTTCTTCAAGATATGGAACGATAACCATTTCGAAATCATTAGGTTTTAAAGATTTGCCGCAAAAACCAAAATGACAAATTTATTATTAGTATATTAAAATTATAAATTATTTTAGATAGCTAGTAATAATATATAAAATTATCTAGGATCCAATAAATTTGCAATTGCCATTGCAGGATGAAAAGCAAATTCGAACCGTTTATCAATTAAAGAAATAATATATGATTTGAAGTCTAATTCTAAATTTTGTATATTAATTAATTCCCGAAGTTTTTGCCATTCATCATATGCATGAGAAAGTAAAAGTGTGTCAGATTCAAATAAAAATATAAGTTTGATAAACGGTTCTAAAAAAGATGCTAGTTTGTCTAAGTCTTCCCATAACGTATCACCCAAAATTTGTTCTCGAAGATTATGATTGATTTTGTTGCTAATTCCATGTTGTATAATGGTCATTTGGAGTCCTAATTTATTTCTGCGAATAGATTGAATTGAAGCCAAATAAGTTCCCCAACGAGTATCACTTGGTTGAATTAAACGTATTGAATTGGGTTGACTTGATAGTATTGCCTCTTCTTTTTGATGCGAATGAAAAAAATTAATGATTTGTTTTACTTGAATCATTAATTTATCTATCTTTTCGTGTTTAATAATATCTTTAACTAATAAATGTCCAATATGTGCATTACATCCTAGACAAATTAATTTTGGATAATCTTGATTTAATCGTTTCCAAGCAGCACGCATCGTATTGGCATTATCAGTAATAACTCCAACAAATTTGGATGATCCAATAGTCTCAATAACAGATTTAATTTCGTTATAAATATATTCTGCTGTATGAGACTCAGAACCTGTATATTTAGCATCATAAAATACAGGTTTAGCATTAGGAAGATATAAAATAAAATTTAAAACTGATTCTTGCCGAATATTAGACCATCCATCCGATGCCAAAGTAATAGTTGATGTATTTTCCAAAATTTTTTTCAAATCTTCTTGTTCAATTTGATATTCTGCATCCAATAAATTATTGGCCAAATTTCGTCGGTTTGGACTAATATAAGTTGGTTGTACAATTTTCATAAATTCATGCCAAAACGGATTTTCGATTGCTGTAAAAGCAATACCAGTCGAATAGAAAAATTTTGCCAATGTTTTATCGGCATTCTTTTGATCAAATGAGCTCATATTGAAATCTTCTGAATCCGAGTCAAATGAATTATTTTGTATTTTATAATATAATGAATCTTTCATATGATTTGGAAGTTTTTTACACTTAATTAAATGATTTTTCAATCGATCAATTAAGTCTATAATACTATTTCCACAATGTTTACATCTTTGACGAGCTGTTTTTCGATTATCAGTTTCTTCAATTTTTTCAAAATGTTTACGAATTTCTTTTAAAGGGGGTCTACCACGAAGCATAATTATTAGCAAAAAAAAATTATTTTTTTTATTTATAATAATAATTATATAATTATGACGTTATATTAATTATGACATTATATTAATGACAATGATTTAAATCATAAAAAAATCATTATAAAACAATATTAAATTGATTTAAAAAATTGTGATTTAAATCATTTGCCATCCCTACATATTGCCTAATGCAGTAGTTCACTTGTTATCACGTGATTTAGAATAGAAATTTTTTTTGTGACCTATTGTATATCAAAAGTTAATAAAATTTTCAAAAATTTTAGTAACAACATTAACAATCCATTATCACCTAAATATGTCAACAATCTAATACTACTATAGACATATTAACAATCTATTATTATCACCAACAAACCATCAATTTGTCAAAAACATGAGCATATCAATGCAAATAAATCAAATAAACATATTACAATTTATTATCAATATAACACATTAGAAAAGCAACATTATTTTTTTTATTTTTTTTTATTTTGGTTAACTAGCTGGACCTTGCTATATTATGCTTTATTATTTAAAGTCACATATATATATTTATGTATTACAGGAATTACTATTTATAACCTAACTACAATATTATATGACTATATTGATTTTATTTCATATCAGCATAGCCCCATAAAAGGTGAGTGCCGAAGCTAATGTATCAAAACCTCATTAGTGTTGCAAAGTATGTTAATCTGTTCTATTTTGGATTTTGTGCAGAATTAAGGAGAAGTTGAAATATAGCACACTGGAGTAATACCTATCTTGAGTAAATAGAATCCTATTTGAGGAAATCTTCTACATCTTATACTATACCAACTCCTAAGCCACCCAAACAGCTAGATACTTATACTGACTAACTGCTTACAGTGCTGGTCTTACTGCAATGGTTCAACTCAAAGAGGCAACTATTAGAGTGGTCTAAAAAGGATCTTCATGATTGCTTCTATAGGAAGAGACACCTGATATCATAGGAAAGGATCACTAAACCATCATTATTTGAAACCAGACTTCTTCTTCACTTTTTTGACCATCTTTCAATAATCATTATAGCACCAACTGGATGATTATTATATCATGACTCCTTTTATAACTAGGTTACAATCTTAATATCTGTTGGATCAGTATATGAATTAGCTTCTTATGAAAAATCATGATTAACAGGTTATGGTGCCAGATACAATTTTTAATCTTGTTCAACCACCTCCACATGGGATTAAACTGATATCTTATAATCTGACCTGTGGAGTGTTAACTACTGCACTATTGACCCACAGGTCAAAAAGCGACATTATATATATAGTATATTACTTTTTTTATACCTTACAAAATATTAACAAACCAATTCTACCAATTTTCAGTTAATACTCCAACCAATCCACTTCAAGTACTATTAATATTTAAACCTTATTATATATTAAACATTCTTACTTTACTAAATATTATTTTTATAGAAAAAAGAAAACAACTCTTTGTATTAATATACATGGACAAGAATAACAATATAATTATTACAGAACTTTTCAACTCCATTACTACTTTTTACTATTTAATTATTTTTTTAAATAATCCATTCCTATACAAAACTTGACATACTCCAATTCTTCAAATCTTTCATGATTCAAATTAACTTTTCAATCAAAAATCAAAATAGTCTTCAGATTAAGCTATCATTTCAAAAGGTAAACTTACTATTCACTTGGATAAGTTCTTAAGCTTTTAGAATTTTTTTCAAAAAATATTCTTAAGCAATGGGCACTTTAAAGAAGAAGTCTTAAACAGTGTATCCAGTAAAGGCTAGAACTATTTCAAACATGTTTTTGAAATATGATTAACATTGAAAGAAAAGTTGATAGGAAAAATAAACTATACAATTTAAAAGCAAGTTTTTAACTAAGCATAACAAATTAATTTACTTCTATTCAAATTCTTAATCTTATAGATTTTATATTACTTGAATTTCTATATTACTAACCCAATCAAAATTATTTACTCCAGGCATTAATTTCAACCAATTACAAATTGCCTCACCATTATTCAATCAAATATTATTATAGCTTAATATAAATAATCTTAACAGCTTATTTTTATATTAATCAACTTAAACTTTACTATATTAAATGATTTATTTAGATATAGAAATATACAATATATTTCATCAATCAGCTATTAAAGTTCAATAGCACCATTAAACTTACATGGCATCAACTCGCTTCACACACAGGAATAATTCGTC